AGAGAGAAAGAACGGGAGAAAGAGATTTTCGCTATTTTTACTATTCCGCGTAATTGATTTGGAGTTTTCTCGAAATGTACGTTTCCTAGAAATGTGCTTGAGAAAAGCCGGGATCCAATTTTATCTCGTCTTCTCCAGTGCATGAAGAAATGACATATATCGACAGTATCGAGCTACCTTACACGCGAATCTAGGGCAAATTTATCTGCGTTAAAAGCTCGATGCCCTTTTCGGAGCGAATGTTAAAAAGCGTGATGTTGAAAATGTAACATCATCGAATTATATGATATCAATTAAGCGATAACAACTTACCGATGCTGTTTTCCCATTTTTACTCGTGACTTTTAACAGCGACCCCTCGTACCCCTGAAACAGAAAAAAATATTACGTTATTAAAAGTTCTATTCTATCAAAATACACTGTTTATAACCGATGGTAAAAAATTGATTAACTTTATATCAATTTTTATATCTTTTACTTAAAATAACAAAGCCTTCTGTGATTTTACAACCACTCGTATATACTACGGAATAAGAATTGAAAAATAGACATACACAACAGTTTACTTTTCATTTTTTTTCCAAATATTGTAAAAAAAAGTTTGTACAGTTTTTTTAAAAAAGTTTCTTTAATTTTTTAAACTTTTTGAAATAAGAAAAATACAGCGTTCAATTAAATATTTGAAATCTTTTACAATATGTTAATTAAAATTTTTAAAGAGCTAATTTAAAATGTGTCTTCTATTCTAGAAAAAACTATTTTAAAAATGTAGTGCACATACAACGTGTATAGTTGCATGACTTAACTAAAATGCATTTGCCAAGGGTCCGTTAGACACAGAATTTACAAAGACTCTTAAAAACTCTTAAAAATAACAAAGAGCACAGAGAGTAAAAAGTAGAGCAAGATATTTATATATTTTATTATATACAAATTTCATTTAACACAAATGCTAAAGTATCCGTAAATTTTTTAGCGGCTATCACTCGAATTATTTATCGTTAATGTGCTCTATTCCATTTCTTGATACGGAAAAAAGGCCTATTATTAACCCTCTGAGAATGTTTTTAATTTGCTATAAACTTAATATGTTACACTTCGTTATAGTATCTTGTTATTAAGTATCTTGTTTCATGCTACCTACCTAATAAATGAATCTTTACAGTGAAGTAATGTTTTCTTAATTTTTATAGTAGCGAGGCAAGTAGAATGCAAGATGAGCACTCGGTTACATGCGAACGCGGTAAGGAGCGTTCATTACTGGAATATCAAACTGTTAATAATTGTGCGATCGTAATGGAAGTGCTAATTAAGAAGCCGCAATTAGAGAGAACAGTAAGTCTCGGACATGGCGCACATCATTTTTAAAGTTCAAACTTGCTTGCATACGCGAGCACAAACACAAAATGTTTTATATCAATTACCGCGATTGAGTATCGATAATATATCAATTAATTGCAGTTATGATTATAAACAACATATGTGTAACCAAAATAAAAATTAAATTAACAATGTAATGTGTTAAAATCTATAAATATAAATATACAAGAATATATTTATTAAGAATTTTAAGTAATTAATTTTTTTATTGGCATAATTCCTCATGAACAATTCAAATATGAATTCATATGATAAAAGCATATCATGAAGTTTAATGATAAATTTAAATTTTACTTGAATTTCACATTTTAAATGCATGGATCGATGTGCAAGATTTCCCAAGTATCTATTACAACATTCTTGGCACTCACAAGCTTCTTAATCTTGCATCATTAATAAGCCTGTCCTAACCATGAAATATTACTACTTAATTTTTGATATCAATTTAAATAAAAATTCTCATGTTTAAATTTTAATCTAAAATTTAATTTCGCATCAAGGTAAAAAATTAATAAATGCAGAAAAATAAAATGAATATTTGTATGTAACACCAATTAAATGAATTAAACGTTCTCTTGTAATTTTTCACATAAAAACACAGATAATTAATGTATACAACATTATGTAAATTTTAATATTAAATTTTCATTCCGTCTATCAAAATGTGCGCATCTTATACATATATCGGTACGCAGCATTTCCAAGATATCCGTTTCAACATTCTTGGCGCTCAGCTCGGTCTCGCACATTATTAATTAACTTCTCTTAACTATGAAATATCACAGTCATTAAAAGGCTGATCTCCCGGGGGAGCATAATCAAGTTTTCGCCGTCACGCGCATATGTTGGTGCCCGTGCGATACGATGTGCAAATAGTTCCCGCGTCCGAAAGTTTCGCGATGATACGAGACGTTGGATGCAACTGATCCGCCCAGCACTTCTTCCGGTGCGCTGAAAACTCCTCGTAAATCCACGGAAAACAGGTCGCGCAGATTATACATATAACGTTACGATATTTCAATAACCGGATTTGCGCGACGGGATTCTTTGCGTGAGGGCGAAAATAACGCACGCTGATGCCACTCAAGGTTTATTGTTCCGCAGTGTGTTGCCAGTATACATTGTCGTATCAATGCCAAGAAATCGTGTTCTCTCTTGATCCCAAGAAGCCACGATTATTCAAGTACATAAGACAACTATCGTCAATATTCATCTCTCTCACATCTCCGTCGGTATACATTGTACTGACGGAGATATGAGAGAAAATGCGAATATTTACGCGTTTACAGTTTAACATGTCATAATTCAATTTTTAATTCTCTTGTCTTTTCAACATAGTGACCTCGACGTACAATAATTTAAATCCCTTCATTCACTTCAACACCATATAATAATCTTTTATTTCTTTCCAAATTAAAAAATTTAATTTGTATTATATGAATAAAATCAATATACAGAAAGAATATACCCATTGCATAAAACTTTAATACATAGGCAAGTTATTATTTCACATTGCATGTAGAGCATATCGCATCCAAAATTTTATCTGGGTCATAATAGAAGGCGAATAGTGTGTATCAATTATAAATGATTGAGTGAAAGCAATATGATGTATGGATCAATTTTTCACATACGCACAGATAACGATATTTCATTTTTCATTCAGTTTTAAATGAGTTTTAATTTTAACAGAATTCTAACAATGATAGTTAAATTTTTTAACTTAAAAAATTACTATAAAATTTGTTACAAATTTATTTTTAAATTTATAAAAAAAGTGTGTAAATTCGTTTAAAATTGCAACAATATTAAAATTGATTTGTATAATCAATTTATATAAAGAATAATATATTATAATATATTATTGTATATATATATTGTGCGTTAATAATTATATCTTTAACCCTATATTATAGTTTTAAGTTATCATTAAATAATATATTATATAATATATTATTAAAGAACTCATATATAATCATTGCATATATATTTATTATACAAATAATAAGATAGGAAAATAATGTCAATTCGATAGAGCCTTTTAGGATTGCATAAAGACAATTTATGGGTTTATCGAGTATCCTTTCCCTTCTATTAGTACATAAACTGATCAGAAAATTACTGTATTACATTTTGTCGCGTAAAATCATTATTTAAAGTCCCAAGACCGTAAAGAAGAAACGCTCTTCGAACGTCTCTATGTATACCTTGCTCGCGGCGCCCGTGTTATCAACGGAAATGTAATTCCTAGCACACCCACGCGACTAATCCTAATCCCTTTGAGCGAGCTGCTCGCTCGATTTCATGAATATACAAAACAAGGCTCGAAGCAAGGAGCAAAAAAAGTTGCGTCGCGCCGTGTCCGCCTTTTTCGCCGTCGAATAACGACACGCTCGAGAGAACCTTCCGGATTTAACTTTCGAGGGAGATTTCCAAATGGAGCGAGAACAATTTCGCCGTTTTTCCACCTGTTCTTCCTTTCCTGGCAACAAATAACCGCGGTTTCTCTTCACTCTGGCCGCTATCGATCTAAATCGCAATTGAATTTCGTCCTGGACGTACATGAATCGTATTTAACTTTCACGAGCGTAATCTTCGATAATTTTCATCAGATTTGTCATTAATTAGATCACTTCAGTGATACGAAAGCATTAATTTAAAAATTATAATTAATTAGATTTT